TTTTTGCAGCTTTGTTTCGTTTAGGTTTATTTTTATTTTTTCAACTTTGGGAAAAAATGAGTAAAACTTGAAAACATTTACTTCCGGAACCTAATTCTTCCAAAAATAAAAGCCAATTGAAAACGACAAACCACAAAAAGAGTACTTGCTTAGAATGACAGAAGCTTTAAACACACTCTCACTTCCAAACCGGTTACGCGGATATTAAACGTCTCCAACCTTAAAAAGAAATTATGAAAAAATCATTAGCGAAAGAGAGAACTAAAGATAAGGTTACAGGTTGTGTTTTGACATGTTCTTTGTTTTGCGATGTTCATGCTAAACTCAAACATTTGTTCAGGGCTTTAGTCCACGTAATTATTTTCTTAGACGAAACAACCTTTTTGCAGGTTTTACATAATAAAAGAGATGAATTAGGCCATAAAGAGAAGGTTTTGAATAGCGTAACATATCGTTGAGAGTTTCTTAGGATGCTCTACTATAGATCAATTGACAAGATGACAAGTCCTTGTCTGGGTGAGATTTCAATCTGTAATGTATTCAGAGATGAACGGATAAATAGCTAATCAAAAATAATTACTGTATTGGAAGTCTGTGAATTTGAGCAGAGTTTATTGGCGACGCATTGGCTTTTCTCTGATATCATTCACTATTCTACCTTTAGGGAATGTGTTCTTTCTCAACGCTACCGAGATAATAAAAAAATATGGATATTGAGATCTTTTTCTCTTTTTTCTTCCTTTTCTGTTGCCTTTCTTTAACCATTTTCCCATTCATTTCTTTTTTTGCTCGCTTTTCTTCCTTTTCTTTCTCATTTCGTTCAGCTTTCCTTTATTTCATTACATTCTTCCAGACTTCCGACTTCCCACCATCGTTTCAAGTTCATTTCAAGAGTATCACGATGTTGCTGTCAGGTCGCAATTCATACGAATTGAATTTAAACATAATTCCACTTGCTGGACGAACCGATTCCGCTTTGATCTAGTTTTTCGAGCTTCAAAACGAATGCTTCGTATGAAAACATTTCCAGTGTCTGCATCCGATGTAAATTTACCAAAATGTCAGAATATACTATTGATTCATTGTGTAGTCGCTGACAGTTCTCCTACAGATCGGAGGAAATGTGTGGGATGAAATGGTCATAAGGAACATTTATCTAAACGATAACGGATTTTTTCTCCTCATTATTTGTCGATATCTCAGCCCCCCTCTGCTCTTGTCTTGTCGTTCACTGCACTCTGGAGGCAATGAAATAATCCATCCAATTATCAGCCACGTTGAAGTATTTTTGTCACAACATTCACAATTGTTTTTCACAAATTTTATTTAGTTACAAAACGTTGTGGTGATTTGCTGCTGTTGTTCTTGCTGATGCTGTTATTGTTGCTGCTGTTATCGTTGTTGATGCTGCTGTTGTTTCTGCTGTTGTTTGTGCCTTCTACTTACTTACTACTACAGTTACTTGATGAACGCCGCTATCTACAAATCACGAGCCCTCGACATCATATGTTCTCATTATTATTTATAGTATACGAACTCATAAAAATTACCTTTTGCACCATTCAATTGCATTTTCCCGCTCCCCTACGAAGGTTTATCCCCATACTCCACTATCCCTCTCCAAGATTTCTTATTGTTTTCTATCTACTCTCTTTTCCTGTCGCCATTCCTGACTAGACCCTCACCTCACCTCACTACCCCTCAGTATTCTTTAAGGCGTCCAAACGTACAGTATGCCATAATGGCCGTGTTACAAGGTAGAGTTTAGCTTGAAACGAGGGCGCATTGGCACCACGACACGAAACACATTTGTCCGGCGAAACATGAACRTCAAACCTCTGTTGTACCGATTCAAATGATATCATAACAAGGGCCTTGGTTAATGTGCTTCCTTGTTAAATCTGTCTTTGTTTGTCCTTTCTCTCTCCCAAGTCCGACCCCCTGTCTCCTCTCCCCCCCCCCCCCCCCCCCCCCCCCCCCCCCCCCCCTCCACTCCTCGCCCCCTCTTTCTCTACACCCTTTGGCGACAAGAAGATCGCTTACACAGAGCTGAGGTTGATTAATTCTACACTCATCCCCTTTACCCGCCTATACTCCAACGTACAATACCTTTCATACTATATCCTTGACCCGGAGATTGAACCCGCAACATTTCCTTCACGATACTAATCTCATTCACTTAAAGCACCTCGCCATTTGGCTCTTCCTTACCAGTCAAGATGGCAGTATTTTGATAATCATTCATATTTTCCTCGATTCTTCAAACATTTCTAGTGTAGCCATTTTTAACGCGCACGCGTTTTCTATTTCATAAAAAAAATTTTTTCTTTTGATAATCATTGTTATTTTCCTTGTTTCTTCAGACATTTCTGGTAATAGCTAAAAAATTTGGCAAAGACTGTGTTTACCGGTTTCACGCATCCAAGTCCCTGTACATATTCAGCCCTAGGAATCGACTTAGAAGATTTGTAATTTTTCTAATAACACATCAGTATCCTTTTCGATAACAATTGATAATCATTAATATCCTATAAAGCATTTCTAATAATTTTGTCACTTTTATTGATCATTGATATATATATTTATTATATTTAATGTTGTTTATTACATTTCTTTACATTCCTAGTTTTATTTTTATATATTATTATTATTATTAATTATTATTATTATTATTTATAAATTGATATTGATTTTAGTATGTTGTATATTATATCTCCTCTGTCTTTATATTCGATTTATAATATATCTATA